AAGCCAGTGTTCACCAATGGAGAATGGATAAGCAAAATGTGGTGTATACATACAATGGAATATTATTCAGCCTTAAAAAGGAAGTAAGTTCTGACATATGCTACAACGGGGATGAACCTTGAGGACATTATGCTAAGTGAAATAAATAAGACAGTTACAAAAGGACAAATACTGTATGATCCCACTTATATGAGGTACTAGAGTACTTCAAAATCACAAAGACAGAAAGCATAATGGTATTTGTCTGAGGCTGGGCAGGGAAGGGAAAATGGGGAGTTATTGTTTAATGGGTATAGAGTTTCAGTTTTACAAGATAAAAAGAATTATGGAGATGAATGGTGATAATGATTGCACAACACTGTGAACATACATATTTATATATTTTATTATTTTTTATTTTTAGAGAGAGGAAGGGAGAGAGAGCTAGAAACATCAATTTAAGAAACATCAATCGGCTGCCTCCTGCACGCCCCTTACTGGGGACCAAGCCCGAAACCCAAGCATGTGCCCTACCTGGGAATTGAACCAGGACCTCTCAGTCCATGGAATAACACTCAACCCACTGAGCCACATCAGCTGGGCAACAATGTGAATATATTTAATACCACTGACCTGTGCACTTAAAAAGGGTTAAGACGTAAATTTTATGCTAAATATATTTTACCACAATAAAAAAAGTTAAGCATAGAGTTAACACATGACCCAACAATTCCTCTCCTTGGAGTGTACCTAACAGAACTGAAAATATGTCTACAGAAAAACTAGTACACAGCCCTGGCCAGTGTGGCTCAGTTGGAGCACCATCCCAAATTAGGTTCAATTCCATCAGGGCACATACCTAGGTTGTGTGTTCGATTCCCCATCAGGCACATATGGGAGGCAACTGAAGGCAACTGATTAATGTATCTTTCTCACACTGATGTCTCTCTTTTTCCCTCTCCCTGTCTCCCTCTCTTTCTCTCCCCTCCCTCCCTCTCTAAAATTAAAATTAAAATAAAATAAAAACAAGAAGAAAAACTAGTACACAAATGTTCAGAGCAACATTATTCATAATAGTAAAAAAACTGAATCAACTCATGTGTCCATCAACAGATGAATAAAACAAAAACTTTGGTATATCCATAGAATGGAATAATATTCAGCCATAAAAAATGAAGTTCTAATACATGCTACAGCACAGATGAACCTTGAAAACATTTTGCTAAGTTAAAAAAGGCATTCATCAAAGGCCTATGGTATGATCCCATTTACATGAAATATCCAAAATAGGAAAATCCAATGAGAGAGAAAGTAAATTAGTGATTGCCATAGGCTTGAGAGTGGGGGTGGGGTGGAAAATGTCTGCTAATTGACACAGAGTTTCTTTCTAAAGTGATGAAAGTGTTCTAAAACGGACTGTGGTGATGGTTTTGTGCAACATACTTTGTGTATGTAAACATACTAAAACCCACTGAACTGTATACTTAAAATTCTATTTTTCCATTGATTTTTTATTTTTTAGAGAGGGTGTAAGGAAGGGAGAGAGAGAGAGAGAGAAACATCGATGTTGAGAGAGACACATCGATGGGCTGCCTCCCACACAGCCCTGGTCAGGGCCGGGGAAACCGGCAACCCAGGTACTTGCCCTTGACCGGAATTGAACCCATGACCCTTTGGTCTGTGGGCTGATGCTCTAACCGCTGAGACTATATATAGTCTCTCTTGTACCTAAAAACAGGCCTGGATACTTTAACCAGTAATTAGAGATTGAACAAACAGCCAAGGGATGGAAGAAGTATCTAGGCGTTGATTCCTACACAGACCCCATTTAGAGACAACGGAGACATCTAAATAGCGAGTTCATATAGAATATAGCATGACACTTTGCCACAAAACAAGGGCATTTTGTGTCAAATTGAGAATCTTTTATTAACTACAGCCTTGGCCCGCAGGCTACAGGTAAACACAGGACATGGTCCTAGACCCCTTATTTCAGGGGCACAGGCAGCAGGGTTCCCTGAGGTGCTGCTTTGCAAAAAGAGAATGTCCCCGCCTTGCACTGCAGCTCAGCTGCTTACTGTGCGAATTCCGACAAGACTCATAACTCTCTAAAGCCTCAGTTTCCTTATCTGTAAAATGGAGATAGTATCTGATAGGCCAGTCTAGGAGGCATACACCCAAGTCCCACCTTCTAAGGGAAGGGAGAAATTCCCCTTTCCTGTGAGTAATCTGTCAGCCAGGAATGTGCCAGACTTATAACTCTGACAATGGGAGATGGTGTCCCTTACTCCTCACCCCATGCGTGAGGCTAAGAGAGGGTAGAGAAGGGCCCCAGGCCACACAGCTGGTTGACATACTGGGCAGAGGTTCTAACCAACAGCTGAAGGCACTCAGCGGGAGGACAGCTGCAGGGCCATGAAGAAGGAAGCAAAAAAGGGAACAGAGGCGGTGGGGGCAGGAAAGCCTTCAAACAGAGATCATGAGAAGTGAATGTCCAAGCTGGTGGGGAGACTAAAGAGACCACCAGTGTGGCCAGAGAAAAGGGTCTATGAATGGGAAATGGAGCAGAAGGTGGGGAGTAGTCAGGCCTGCCAATACCAGGGTAGGGAGCCTGGGTTCAAGTCTGTGAGAGGGGCTGCTCAAAGTCTGCCCACATGCTGCCCTGATCCACGTGGCCTGCAGGGCATAGGAGAGTTGATAATAATGATGACAGCCAACATTCATTCACCATATGCCAGCACTTCACATGAGTTACCTCATTTAACCCTCATCATAACCCTAGGAAGCAGATACGAGTATTACCCCATTTTACAGATGGGAAAACTGAGGTAGGCAAATTAAGTATCTTGCCCAAGTTCAGTCTGTAAACTGTCTTGGGACCCACAGAGTCCACCAAAAGTAAGCTTAACATTTGTATGAAGTCTCCTATTATAAGTATTTATTCAAATCATGCATTTTTCTCTTTAATATACTTACACCTGTTTTATTACCAAATAATGCCTTTCCAACTCCCCCACCAAATCCTCCTGGAAAACTACCCTCTAGCAGGGCGGAGCCACTTGGTTTTCTCAGCCTTGGCAGGAACCTTGGGCACAATGCTGAGAAGCCCAGTCGTGGATGTCGGAGCCCAAGGAAGGTTTTGATACTGGTTCTCTGCCTCTGACGAGTGCCATTTTACTAAAAAGGATACTGTCATCTCCATCATTTACAAAGACTGGGCAGAGAAGACACATTTGTCTTTAGCCTTCTGAAGTTTTCTGGTCCTCGTCTTTGGAATTCCAGCAGTTTACCGACAATACCCCTTAAGACCACTCTCCACCTCTTTCCTGCACATACTCTGAACCTGACTTTGACCAAAAGACCCAGGGAGATGTCCGAGCAGGTACCCAGGATCCCCACCTCAAGTCCCTACACCTGCCCTGAGGTTTCCCAACTCCAGGTCTTTGCTCACACCATTCCTTCCACTTGGAATGCTCTCCCCGCCACCCTCACAACCGTCTTAAAGGTGGCCCCCTTCGTTGGGCCATCTCTCATCCCTTCCTCTAATCTGATGGAAGTGACCAAGCCCTCCTCTGACCTACTTGAACACACCCTAACCCACTCTGCAACAGAACTGCTCATGCAAGGACAGGATTTGTGTGTGACTGTTCTCTGAGTCCTGCACAGAGTAATGCCTTGCACACAGCAGGCAGTCAATAAAAACGTCATGAGTGAATGGATCAAAGAATCACTTTGTGTTCCCACTAATCACAGGCACTAGTGCTTTGTGGGCAGAATCAACCACCGAAACGCACGGACCAGGAAGGCAAGTTTATGGCCCTGGGAGACCCGAGGCAGGAGCTCGGCTCAACAGTCAGGAACCCAGCCTCATTTTGAATTTGTCTGTCACCTCATCTCTTCCCACCAAACAGCTCCACATCGTCTTTGATTTCCCCTCAATGTCACCTTGCTGGAGTCGCCTGGCTTTGCTGGCTCTCAGGGACAGCATCTGGCAGTGGGTCTCTTAATCTCCCACTCACGCAGCTGTGAGCACGTGGCGGTCAGCTGAGGGCAAAGGAACTCTCCCTCCCTCTGTGACAGCCTCCAGATGGAAAGTCCCACCCTGCAATAACACTTCTGCAGTCAGAAAGCAAGGAAAACGGACACTGACACAAAGGTATCACGAAACGACGTTCTCTTCACAAGGGAAAGAGGGCTTGCACCAGTCGGCCAGAGCACAGCTCACACGACCAGCATCATCTAAGGCTCATTTAAAATGCAGACTGCCGCCCTGGCCGCTTTGGCTCAGTGGTTAGAGCGCCGGCCTGTGGACCAAGGTTCGATTCTGGCCAAGGGCACGTACCTCGGTTGCGGTTTATCCCCGACCCTGGTTGGGGTCGTGCAGGTGGCAACCAGTAGATGTGTCCCTCTCACATCGATGTTTCTCTCTCTCCCTCCCACTCTGTCTGAAGATAACTGCAAAAAAAGTATCCTTGGGTGAGGATTTAAAAAAAAAAAATGCAGACCGCCAACGAGTCCCAGATATTCTGGGATGACTGCCCTTGAGTTCCCAGGCCCAGAAGACCAGGGGCAGGGCCCACTCAACACTCTTCTCATCACCTCCACCCTTGCCTGGCCTGGGTCCCTGCAAGTGATGGGGACAGCCCCAAAGCACATCCTAAGGTATCTTCACCTCTGGCCTGAATTCAAGCACCTGGGTCCTAAAAAAACCTCTACCCAGCTAGAGGATGCTGGCTTCATCTCTTCAGCCTGAATCTGTAGTTTCAATGACTTCACTTCAGGATAAAGTACAGATGTCACAGGGAAAGGCTATATCATAAATAGATCTGGGAGCATTTCCATTTCCAGGTTTGGTGTAAGTGAAGGAACAGGCACTTCCAACCCCGAGGAGTCTGGGAGGAACTCTATGGGAAGAGTGGGCCCGCGCGGAGCAGACTGGCTGACGACAGAACTGTCACCTGTGGCAGAGGCCACAGCCTCGTCACCACCTGGAACTCAACCAGTGGAGCGAGAGCACCTACCTGGGGCATCTGGTCTATGTGGAACAGCCTGGGGAGCTTCAGGCTCAGCATCGTGAAGCCGGGTGGGGAAGGCCAGAGGGTGGCAGCTGCTCTGTCACCAGGCCTCACTGAAAGTTCTCACATGGCCTGGGGGGCCTCTGGCCAGCGGGTGCCCGGGCTGTTTCCCTGAAAGAGGACAGCGGGAAGAAACCCAGTTAGTCTCAGCCGAACTCCAGCTGGATCAAGACAGTCAGATGGTTTATGGAACATACCTTGCTTGTGATGGCAAAATAATCAGGTTTTCTTAAAACCAACAGCCGAACTATCAGACTGCGGAGTCACTCCAAAAGTGCTGGAGGGAAGTGATTAAATCATACCACAGGCAATCATTAAATTGTAGAACTGGAAAGGGCCGCAGGGGTCCCCCAGTCCCCTCGTACTGCACGAGGGTCGGGGGGAAATGACTTCTGCAATGTTGCACAGCCAGGAGAGGGCTGGGACTGCACAGCGTGCTACCCCTGGGCAGATGGTGTGCTGCTAAGTCTGCACCCACCCAGGGGCAGAGGAGGACCAAGAGCCTTGCTCCCAAACACCCAAAGAGAAGGAGCTCTTCCAGAAGGCTGACCAGGGTGTGTTTGCTGTGAGACACAGAAGAACCAGGCCAGGCAAATCCCTCTCCCTCGCTGGAGACAGAGCAACTCAGACTAGCTAGATTGTTTAAGTGCAGGATTAAGACATTTTAACAGCTGTGATTAATGTGAAGCAGAAAAACCCAAGTCCTCAGGACAAGCCCAAGAAACAGAAAAATACAAGCTGGGTTTAGCAAAGAAAGAGCAGAGCCCGTAATGTACCATAGTCAACGCCTCCTCTTCCCCCGTTATCACTGGGCCAAAATCTCCTGCCTCCTCAGAGTTCCCCAGAGGGTTCTGTCCCTGTCTCTGAACACCTGAAGACCCTGCCTGTGCCCCTCCTGCGGCATGAGCCACAACTACCTGCAGGGAGAGCTACCTGCCTAGGCCCAGTTCCCCACTGCTGGGGAAGACCCTCCGGGATGCTTGGTAACTCAGGTGTGTGCCTGGCTCATCCTGGCCCTTCATCAAATACTTATTTAATTTTTTTTTTAATCCTCACCTGAGGACATTTTTTGATATATTGTTCAGATAGAATGGGAGAGAGAGAGAGAGAAAGATCGACGTGAAAGGGACACATCGAGTGGTTGCCACCCGCACGACCCAACCAGGGCCGGGGATAAACTGCAACCGAGGTACGTGCCCTTAGCGGGAACCGAACCTGGGTCTCTCTGGACCGCAGGCCAATGCTCTAACCGCTGAGCCAAACCGGCCAGGTCTATTTAATGTTTTTTTAATAGATTTTTTTAGAGAGAAACATTGACCAGCTGCCTCCTGCATGCTCCCTACTGGGGATTGAGCCCACAACGCAGGCATGTGCCCTGACCAGGAATCGAACTGGGACCTCTCAGTCCATGGGACGCTGCTCTACTACTGAGCCACACTGGCTGGGCCAGGCGTCAAATATTTATTTAATTCTGTTAATTAAAGCAATGCTGTTCATCCTCTGAACTTAAAGTGTGTTTTAGTTTTTCTGGTTTGTTTATACTTTTCCTTCTTATAGTTCTTCATGTCTATGTGTCACCTGGAACTATGTAGTAAAATCTATTGTGTTATGTTTCATTGTCATAAATTTGCTTCTTTGTAAAAATACGAATGTAAGCATTACTCACAATAATCAAAAGGTGGAAACAACACACATGTCCTTCAGCAGAATAGCTAAGCAAAATAACATAAACAAATAAACAGCTTGGGGAAGCGCTCTCACTTCAGGGTGGGCAGTCCCCATACTCCTCCAGACTCAGCTGGGGCCTTGCGGGCAAAGGTCAGGTGTCCCATCATAAAGAGAGAGCTAGGGTCTTAGAGCATCATCTCCCAGGGCCTGGAAAATGGCGGCCCCCATGAAGAAAGGGAAGATGACGAGGGTAGCTTTCAGACGAGTTGAGTTTGATTTGCACAGGTTTGCAGTTTAAAAATATGTGGCCGCCCAGCCAGTGTGGCTCAGTGGTTGAGCATCAACCCATGCATCAAGAGGTCACCGGTTCGATTCCCAGTCAGGGCACATGCCCAGGTTGTGGGCCTGATCCTCAGTGTGGGGGCATGCAGGAAGCGGCCAATCGATGTTCTCTCTCATCGATGTTTCTGTCTCTCTCCCCCTCTCTCTTCCTCTCTCTCTAACAATCAATAAAGAAAAAAAATTAAAAAAAAAAAAAAGATGTGCGATCACATCTTGGAGGTGAAGTGGAGGCTACAGATCAATTTAGGAGGCCAAGAGACGTGAATTTCAAAGCACTGAGGTTCCCCGAGGGAGAGGAGCACAGAAAGGACTCAAGAGATGAGAAAGAGTCAGGGTCATGCGGCTGATGGAGCAACAATGACAAAGGTGGGGTGGGGCAGAGGGGTGGCATAAGGGATTCACCCAGTATCTCAGTTTCCCTGGAAGGGAAAGAATAGGTACTGTGAGAGAAAGGGGGGCAGGGATTGTGGGGCAATGTTGGGGAACTGGCCAGGTGAGCGGCAGGGAAGCAGGGAGTGGCCCTGGGGCAGGGCACTCGTCTGCTCAGGCTGAAGCAGTCCCTGCGCTCTCCCGCTGCCCGGGCTGGGCACAGAGATGGAGAGCGGGCTCGGATGTGCTCCATCACTTACTCATTCACAGCACACACTGCTGAACTCCTGCTACATGTCCAAGGCTGTGGCAGGGTATGGGGATGGAGAAGCAGATAAGACAGTTTCATCCCTTACGAGCTCACATTCTAGGGTAGGAGATTGGCACTAACAATTGACACAGAGCACATCTGATTAGCTGTTAGAACCAGATGCTTCTGGGGTAACCCAGAGGAGGGACATCACACTAGAGCCTTCTTGAAGAAATGTAATTTGAGCTGAGTCTTGAAGAATAAACAGGAGCACGACAGCCACGGAAGAGAGAGGGCATTCTAAGCCGAGGGTGCAGCTGGAGCCAGGCAGGAGGCTGAGAGAGAACAATTCTGGGAGCTGTCTGAAGGACAGCGTGGGCGTGGTGGAGGGTATGGAGTGGCGGGTGGCCAGGGTGGTCCTGGAGAAGAGCCCAGACTTAGTGTGCCCCCATCTGAATTTGGTGGGAATGAATGCCCTTGGGGGCTGGGGAGTTAGGATTGGGGGTGATGAGGAGAGGATGGTCACCCTAGGTCAGATAAAGAGAATTCTGAGGAGTGGATGGTGGTCAATTTCAAATCCTGGCTCCATCACTTACTGTGTGCCCCTGGCAGATTACCTAATCTCTTAAACCTGAATGTTTTTATCAGTTAAATGAGGATAATGAAAGAATCGATGGCTCTTGTGAGGGTGAAAAACCACGGGATCTATCAGAAAACAAGCACTCAATAAATGGTGGCTATTATCACTATCCAATACCAAATCACCGGGATTCTGCATTAATGCTTCCTCATGCTCCCTCTGCCCTTGGTGTGTAATTCTGCATAAAAACAGACTGTTTCCCTCTGGCTCTGACCCACCTCCCTGGCTGGAGGTGTGACTAATGGGTGCTCCATGTGCTGTGCGAAGGGGTTGCCATGGTGACCTTCCAGCTTAGCTTTTGGACTCAGTGAGCAACCCAAACCTTTTCTTTGTTCCAGCTATCCCAGCTATTTTAGATATTTACCACTAGGCGATTTGTGTATTTTTTTTTTTTTTTTTTTTGGTACGTGCCCCTAGCGGGAACCGAACCCGGAACTCTCTAGTCCGCAGGCAACTGCTGAGCCAAACCGGCCAGGGCGATTTGTGTACATTTGAAAAAGTGTGCATGATATTCTTTAGCACGTTGTGGAAGAAAATTGGTAACAATCCAAATTTCTGGCAAGAGAGAGCCTGTTGGTTGTTACAGTACACCCATGCAAAACTGTACTGGGCGGCTATTAAAAATGTTACAGGTCTTGGTTACTGACAGGAAATGGTGTCATGACACATAGTTAAATGAAACAAGCAGGTTATGGAACAGCATAAATTTTGTAACATCATCTATATAAAACTGTGTTACATTTAACAGGTTGTATTTATGGACAGAAAAGTGTATGGAAGGATGTTCCTCAGTGTGCACAGTGGTTCTCTCTTCACGGCAGTGGTTAGCTCTAGAAATTTGCTTTACCTTCTTCTTTCTACTTTTCTATAACACTGGTTTGCCTAATATGCATGTGTGTTATTATTATTATTTTTTAAGTAAAGCAACAATACTATTTAAAGGAAATAAATGAATCAATCTTGTAACCCTTGGCCAGTCTTAAAGACATTAACTACGTGAGCCAAACTATGGCAAGTTTGTACTGCAAACATCTGCACATCCACTGCAAAATAGTGGCATCTCTTTACACACCTACCTGGGCAGCTTGTCTGCCTCTGCCCTGCCAGGGTCAACAATGGGCCGGTAGTCCTCCATTCAGGGTAAATGGGACCCAGGTCTTAAAACCACATAGGTCATGCATTTTGGAAAAACAACCACCTTTCCTTTCCCAAGACAAAGGCTTAAGGGGACTCACTCTGTTGTGACCATGGTGAAGGCAAAGGTGGGCAGGAGTGTCCTGCACTGGGAGCCCTGGAAGGTCATCAGTCAACAGACACACACTGAGCACTTTCTGTGTGCCAGGCACATGCCAGCCTTGGAGATAATGGCAATGGAGGCAGAGAGGGGCCAGCTCCCACAGGACTCCTGGCCTAGTACATACAGGGCTCCAGTAAGGGCTTGAAAATCCAAACTCCTCAGAGTTCCTGCAAGGCCCTGCTCTCGAGACACATGGTCCGTACTTTGTGCTCCTACAACAAAATCGTTGGATCTCCTCTGGGAGGTCCCAGAAGACCCTGCTCCTTAACATATTTTCAAGCTTTCCACAGCCCACCCAGCCCCAGCCTCGCCTCCCACCAGTCTTGCCATATGGCGCACATGCCATCACTGGTCTCTGTCCTTGGACACACCAAGGGCTTTCATACCCCCATGCTTTTGTACTTGCTGTTTACTCGGGTGAGACACCTCTTCTCCACTTTGTCTTCTTGACGAAATTCTACCCATTCGTCTAAATTCAAGTATCGCTTGAAAGGGCCTATATCATCCCATCTGCAAACTTCACAGTGAGATCCCAGAGCCCTGGC